CTCCATTTTGTCTAGAAATATTGAAAGGGAAACGCGCTAATCCTTTGCAGGGATTGACGCCGCACGGTATTTCCCGGAGGCGTTGAACATGAGGAGCCACTTCATTAATCCTATGACGGCGGCTCAGCCGAGAAGCCCGATCCGCTAGCGAGTACACACGCTTGAAACTCGAATGATTTGCAGCCAATCACGGAAGCGCCTGTGGTCACACTGCGGTACGAGCGAAGGAAACCGTGCTAGCTGGCCGATCTGGTCCGGTCTGGCCGATGCTTTTTCAGCCGGTTGACCGGGTGGGCCGGCACTTCCGTCGGCTCGATTCGTCTAAGTTTCAATGTTTGTGTGATGCGGCAATCCTCGAAAAGTAATGAAGCACTCTATTTGCAGGGAGGGGATGCTAATACTGATTATAAGCCGATATTGTCAGCACAAGCGGCGAACACGATGAGCCTCTTAGCCAGGCACGAGTGCCGCGTGAAGCCCGCCGCACGCGTGTCGAGCCGGCTCACCTGCGAAGCAGCCGTCACGTAGGGGTAACCGAACTGGGTGTAGGCCGACATGGCGCCGATGGCGTGCCGCCTCAGGTCAGAGTAAGTCAGGCCGTTCCGTGGCCGGGTCACGTGACGAGGCCGCGGGTCGGCCGCGGCGGTGCGGCGCCGGTCGTTCGGTCACACAGCACGCGCCCCTCTCTCGCTCCGCGCAGCACGGCAACTGGCCGCCGCCGGCCGCCGGCGCGCCGAGCGTCATCAGTGGGCGGAGCCTCACCAGCCGCCGACCAATCAGCGGGCGCGCCGGCCCCGGCTCCGCCCACAGCCATTGTGGCCGACGGGAGAATTAGCCACGGTATTTGCTGACTGGCTTGCTGGCCACACCTCGACTTGGCGAAGAAAAATAGCAAGGAATCTGAAGCGGAATTTTACAGACGTTAGTTTAGTGGTGAACAAGAGAAATATGGGCTTGGGGGCGATTTATCCTGTTTTCCAACCAGGAATCATGTAGGACGTAATGACACAAATTGTGAGAATGCTGTTAACCACTGGGAAAATTAGCGTAGATGGATCGGGGTGAAGCTTTGAAGTGAGCACACACGTGCACATTACAGCCTACGTAATTGTTATCACCCCGTGTAGATACCAGACTAGGGCGAGAACCGAAGTTGCACTTATGCCACATTAATTAAACCGTGATTCATGTTTAGCATAGTTCAGCTAAGCCTCCGGGGCTGAGAATATATGGCAAAGCTTGTCCATAATTGCGCCATATAGCGCATCCACCCACTTGTGCACATCTTATGGACGTAGATTGTGCTAGCAGTTTGCATTTCTAAAAGTCAATTCAACATTAAATATCGCTCATCAGGAGCATCACTATTCACCTTGCTTACCACGTCACATAAAAAGAACACACGACATATGCAAGCTTAGTTCAAAAAGGAAAGCTGAAACAAAATTTTCGCGCATGGTAATTACGTATCGTTGTGCCAGCGGCGCTTATAAGAATACGACTGCGCATAGAGCGTCACTGCCGTGTGACAATGGGGAAGGATGAGAGGGGAATTGATCTCCTTTCTTGCTGTTCCAATCCGTGGAAAACTGAACCTTCTAGACAGGTTCAACCAACCATCGCGGTGAAGTAGCCTATCCGACTTCGCAAAGTAAAATCAAATGTGGCAGAAGTCACATTTAAAAAACATTCAGGTGCTTCCCTTTTTAAGTCAACGTACTGTTGAATTCTACATTGGGTTGATGCATAATAATTCTTGGAAGTTGGACGAAAGGATGTAGCTTCTAAGAGTTCGCAACAGCTGTATTAGTTGCTCAGCGACGCACCATTGCTGCCATCTTCTAACGCAACAGCAAACCTTATTATACAGCGACGCATTATTGCTGCGATCTTCTAACGCTGACAGCAAACCTTATTATACAGCGACGCACCATTGCTGCGATCTTCTAACGCTGACAGCAAACCTT